GTTGGTTGTTGTGACATCACAGAGACAGTGAATTTGAAGCAGGCTGTTTTTGCAGTTTAGGTTTCAGACATCAGTTTTCCATGAGGTGGGCAAACCAGTTTAGCTGAAGATACATAATATTGTATTATGAAGCTACTATTCTACAACTGTATAGGGTTTAACTAATTAGTAGGAAGCTGTAAAAGAAGCTGTAAAGAAATGTGAGTGGTGTCCAGAATAATGAACAGAGCTGTAATAATTTGATAATAACAATAATAATAACTTTATTTACTGAGCACTTTTCATACTGGTGGCAGCTTAAACTGTTTTACAGACTGCTTTAAAGCTAAACAGTCATGGAAGAAACTAAAGTTGAATTTGATTTTCTTCTATTATAGTTATTGTTCAATAACAGCAATGTAAAGGAAATAAATGATGAAAGTGTATTAATTTCATTATACTATATAATTATACAAAGCAAGACCAGATTAAAAGGATGAATTAAAAAATAGAGGTAGAAACTTAATACAAGCTAAATTGAACAGATGTTTTCAAATGTTTCTTAAAATAAAGTTTGAGTATCTAATAGAAAAGATGAATTGAGCTCCACAGTTTAGAAGCAGAATAACAGAAAGAGTCTCTCACGCTTTCTGTATTTTACGGAAGGTGTTTGCAGAAGGCCAGTATCTGCAGATCTGAGATTACGTGCTGAAAGATAACAGACAGACATTCTGTGATGTAAGCAGGTGATTTAAGGTCGTTTAGAGCCTTAAAAACTAGTAACAGAGCCCTTTTTATGCTGTGTAATGAGACCAAAATTTGACAAAATTATATTACACACTGCTATAACCTAAGAATAGCTCAGCCAGTGTGTATGGAAGTCCTTGTAGTTACTGAATAATAAGCCTTAATATGTAAAAGCCTGTGATTTTAAGGGGTTAATGACTATCTACTACCTGGAAGTCCACAGAGGTGGGCAGAAACAAGTTATGAATATATGAAAAAGTTTGAACACATTGATGTTGATTTTCTAAGTGAAAAGTCAACATCCTCTACAGAGAACAAAAAACTTATAAAACTGATATTTTTTATAGTCATTTTAGTGCACAGTTTCTATTTATTAGCTGAGTTTAACATCTTGGAAAATAATAAAACATACAATATAAACAACAATTAACAATATGTTAGATTCAGCAAATGATTCATCATTAAGTGCAGAAGTGTGTTCTCTGTAGAGGGTGTCTTAACTGATTTTCACTTAGAACACAAACGGGTCATTTGACCAGGGGTGTCCAAACTTTTGTGTACGACTACTTCAGAGAAATAACAATACTTTTACTCCAGTCAAGATCTGCATTTTCAAGATGGGTATATGATCATATGTGTTCAGAATACAAGGCATTAAAAATACACTGGAGCTCCTAAACTGCAGCAGCAGCTCCTACAAACCATGAACAGCAGTGCACAGGAGGGACAATAATCCAGCACAGTTAGGTAATTATCCTGATCATTAGCTCAATATCAGGCTTAGCAGGTGGCCTACAGCAGAGAAATCACCAAACTGCTGGACCTACATGGGTGACCTGGGCAACTGACCGTATATGGGTGACCTGAGGACTGACTATATGGGTGACATGGGCAACTGACTATATGGGTGACCTGGGTGGCTGACCATATGGGTGACCTGAGGACTGACTATATGGGTGACATGGGCGACTGACCAAAAGCGTGACCTTGGTGACTGACCATATGGGTGAACTAGGTGACTGACCATATGGCTGACATGAGGAATGACCGTACAGGCTACCTGAGTGACTGACTATAAGGGTGACCTGGGTTACTGCCCATACGGGTGACCTTGGTGACTGATCATACAGGTGACTGGAGGACTGATTATGTGAGTGACCTGGGTGACTGACCATATGGGTGACCTGAGGACTGACTATATGGGTGACCTGGGCAACTGACTATATGGGTGACCTGGGTGGCTGACCATATGGGTGACCTGAGGACTGACTATATGGGTGACATGGGCGACTGACCAAAGGGGTGACCTTGGTGACTGACCATATGGGTGAACTAGGTGACTGACCATATGGCTGACCTGAGGAATGACCGTACAGGCTACCTGAGTGACTGACTATAAGGGTGACCTGGGGATTGACCATATGGGTGACCTGAGGACTGACTATGTGAGTGACATGGACAACCGCCCGTACAGGTGCCCTGGGTTACTGACCGTACGGGTGACCTTGGTGACTGACCATATGGGTGACCTGAGGACTGACTATGTGGGTGACATGGGCGACTGACTAAAGGGGTGACCTTAGTGACTGACCATACGGGTGAACTATGTGTCTGACCATATGGCTGACCTGAGGACTGACCGTACAGGCTACCTGCATGACTGACTATAAGGGAGACCTGAGTGACTGACCACATAGGTGACCAGTGCACAATTTTAAATGAATTTGAATCTGGCAACATCTTTTGAAGCATTCAGTTTACTTTCGATCTACTCACACACCACAACAATCAGCCATAAATAATAATCATTATTGTGCAAGTCTGACGGACAGTGGGGTCAATATGGGTACATCAGAGACTGTCATTAGAATCTTAAAGTGATATTGAACTGAATCGAGTCTTCAGCAAAAGCTTTTCAACAAACGGTCTCAGGTTATCATCAGTGGGATGTAGGGGCTCTAATGCCCAGGGGCGCCACAGGATCATAACCTGGCCCTGCCTACGACCCTCTGTCTGGGCAGGTGAGCCGAGCACAGGCGCTGTTCCGCTTCGGGACGCCAGATGGCGCTGTTTTCACCGCTGATGACTCTCAGTGATGGAGACGCTTTGCGCTCCGGGCTCGTTTTCACACAGACTTCACGGTCGTGAGCTGTTAGAGCCAAACTGTGGAAAAAGAGCGAATGTTTTGGCATTAAATCGTTAGAATCCGGACTTTTTGGGGCCGCAAGCTTACCGGATCACGCCAGACCCCTCTGACTGTTCGTGTAAAGCCGTTCAGTAGAGCAGTTCGGTAAAACTTCCCCAGCCCACTCGACAGAAATACAGCAAAACAAAACCGGCGGATATCGGAAAGGATTAGTGTGATGACGAGCGCGCGCAGGGAGATTTTTCTTCTCTTCTTTTTTCGCTCTGTATCCGTAGCCGAATGTTCCGAGGCCCGTGTGTGCTCGTCGCCTCGGTGGGATTTCCCGGATTGGATGTTTACTTGTGGCTTCTCTTTCTCTCTCTCTCTCTCTCTCTCTCTCTCTCTCTCTCTCTCTCTCTCTCTCTCTCGCGGCTTTTTTGGTCCGCTACGTTTTTCAGAGAAACCCCTCGACCACGTAGAGCGGAGGAGGCCACGCCCACCTGCGAAAAACCCTTCATTATAGCCTTCATAATTTAAAATTAGCATTAAACAATAGTCTTATTACTATTCGCAGTGCCATTATGAAACACAGCATAAAGGTTTCTTCATCATCATCATCATCATCATCATCATCATCACCATCATCACCATCATCATCATCACCATCATCATCATCATCACCAACATCATCATCATCATTGTAGTGCACCCCTAAGCAGCAGCATTACAACATCTCTCAGCACAGGACCTGAATTATATACTCTTTTTGGGTCATTTTGGTCTGAAACAAATGGTACACGCTCAGAATGGTTCTTCAAAGGTTGTTCAGTAAAGAGAATGGTTCTATTTAGAACCGTGAGTTCTACACACTTAAAAATGGTGGTTCTTCAAGGACTCTTTAGTAAAGAAAATGGTTCTGTATTACACCATGAACACTCAAAGAACCCTTTTGCATGATTAAAGGGTTCGTTACATCGCAAAAGAGTTCTTCAGATTAATGGAGAATATGTTGTGTATGGTTCTATATAGAACCTTTGTGGCAAAGGTTCTATATAGCACCAGAAAGCGTTGTTCTATTGTTACGATGCCAGGCTTGTAGTGCAACCCTAAGCAGCATTACACCATTATTATTATTATTATTATTGTTATTATTATTATTATTGCTGTTGTTGTTATTATTATTATTATTATTATTATTATTATTATTAGCAGTAGGAATAGTAACAGTAGTGGTAGTAAAGTAATGAGTGTGTAACCTTGTAGATGCACTCCTAAGCAACTTTACATTATTGTTATTATTATTATTATTATTATTATTATTATTATTATTATTATTATTATTATCAGTAGTAGTAGTAAAGCAATGCGCGTGTAACCTTGTAGATTCACTCCTAAGCAGCTTTACATTATTATTATTATTATTAGTAGTAGTAGTAGTAGTAAAGCAATGAGTGTGTAACCTTGTAGATGCACCATTAGAAGTAATTAAAATCATTACTACTATTATATTGCTATTATTATTATTATTTTATTACATAAATTAATAACTTATTTTTTGAGTGACTACACAAACGTCGTTCACTCGACTGTAAAGACTGCAGTAAACATGTTATGGAAACACAGCACGTGTTTTTTCCGCCTTAAATCTCCCTTCAAACGTGTAATAATTCTTTAAAATGTGACATTTTTGGAATGGAACTGTCGCTGGCTCTTCAGAAGGAACGCCCCCTTTTTCGAACGGCCCCGCCCATTTGCACGTCTAATCTAAAGCTATTTAAGGGCTGGTGCGCGTCTCAGCCCGCTTTGGTGAACGAGCAGCGTTAGAGCCCCGGCTGTGGAGCGAGTGCAGCGCGTTCACTGAGGTAAGAGCCGCGCGCTGCCCGGTCAGGAGAGCTGATACTGAGCCCAGTGTTCCTGCTCTGACCGCCTCACCGTGACTGTACACACAGCACAGCTGGATTAGTACCCAGAGAGCTGCTCAGTTAGACTGAGAGAGGTGGTTTAGAGGAAACGCTTATCTGTGCAGCCTGTTTGAATTGAGCACAGCACACGCTTTCTTAGGCTCAGTGAAAGTGCATGCAGTTATTTCTCATTAGGCTTGTTGTCTGCAGTCACGTTGGTATTTGCATGAGCCGAGCTGTGCACCTGCATGTCCGGTCACCACTGTCGCATGCGTCCTTTAACAGGCATGAATTTAGATGGGGACTGCAGCATGTCAGTCAATTGTGGCAATGGCAAACTTAGGCAGTGGCTCATCGAGCAGATTGATAGCGGGGAATACCCCGGCCTGGTCTGGGAGAATGACGAGAAAACCATTTTCAGGATACCCTGGAAACACGCGGGAAAACAGGACTACAACCGCGAGGAGGATGCTGCTCTGTTCAAGGTGAGTGAAGAACTTCAGGTCAAGCCAAAGCCAATGAAACCTTGACAGAAACTACTTGAGGGACTCGTAGAACTTAAGCAGAACCTCTCAGCATCTTTCAGCACAGGAACTGAATTTTATTAGACTGTTTTTTCTCGTTTTGGATCCTTTTGGTCTGAAACAAATGGCACACACCTAAAAAGTAAAGGGAATGGTTCTATTTAGAACCAAGGGTTCTACACACATACAAATGGTGGTTCTTCAAGGGCTCTTTAGTAAAGAAAATGGTTCTGTATTACACAATGAACACTCAAAGAACCTTTTGCATGATTAAAGGGTTCTTTACATTGTGAAAGCGTTCTTCAGTTTGATGGAGAAGGTGTTGAGTATGGTTTGAGTATCTAGAACCTTTGTGACAAGGGTCCTATATAGCACCCAAAAGGGTTCTTATATTGCTACGATGTCAAGCTTGTTACAATAGAAGAACCCTTTTTGGTGCTTTTCAAAAAGGCTCTGTGTAGAACCACCTGTAGCACATTCTCCATCAATCTGAGGAACCCGTTCACCATGCAAAGAACACTTTAATCATGCAAAGCATTTTTTAAGTGGTTCCATATAGAAACATTTTCTTTTCTAAAGAACCCTTGAAGAACCATCTTTTTTCATAGTAAACCATTCCATGCTATACTGGTTCTTCAGATTGATGGAGAATGTGTTGTGGTTCTATATAGAACCTTTTTAAAAATTTGTTCTATATAGCACCAAAAGGATTCTTCTATTGTTACAAGCTTATTACAATAGAAAAACCCTTTTTGGTGCTATATGGAACCCTTTTCAAAAAGATTATAGAACCACCTATAGTACATTCTCCATCAATCTGAAGAACACTCACGATGCAAAGAACCCTTTAATCATGCAAAGTGTTCTTTGAGTGATTCATGGTTCTATATAGAAACACTTTCTTTACTAAAGAACCCTTAAAGAACCGTCTTTTTAAGTAATAGAACCATTCCATACTTAAATGATTCTCCAGATTGATGGAGAATGTGTTGTGGTTCTATATAGAACCTTTTTGAAAATGGCTCTATGTAGCACCAAAAAATGCTTCCTCTGTCATTACAAGCTTAACAGCATAACAATAGAAGAACCTTTTTTGGTGCTAAGCATGACCTTGTTCTTAATAGAACTCATGGTTCTAGATAGAACCATTGCCTTTACTAGAGAACCCACAGTGTGTACATCTCAAAAAGTCGGTGTGACGATCACAAAGCAGTGATTCTGTCAACATCGTAACAGAATGGAATTAACACAAAAGGGGAATTAGTCACTAAATATTACTGACTGGCATCAGCAAAAGATTCCTTTCCTCGCAATTATACCAGAGTAAACGTATTACTGGAAATGTGTTGCAGTCACTATTACAAGTAACACTAAGTGTAACGAGTGACTACTCACCTCTAACCGTAGTTCAACGTAACTATCACCATTATCTTCATGATCACCACCATCATGATCGTTATCTTTAACGTCACCATCATCACCTCCAGCACTACCATCATCATCAGAATCATCGTTCATTTAGGCTTCAAGTCAATTACTATGAGTTTACTATTGTATTATTATTATTCATATTATTATACCATTATTATTATTACTTAGTTAGTAAGGGTACTTTAGCAGGCATCCAGTAGTAGCCTAATATTTCACAAGGAAGTGAAGAAATTTGATGTTAAACTACCAGAAGCAAACTGCACAATAGTGCGAGTGTTTAGACTGACAATGAGTACTCGTGCGACTGTTGTGCTCAGACTATTGCTCATTCAGACCGATGTTCATTCATGTTTTTCTCTCTCTTTTTTCTCAGTCAGTTTAGATAATGGTAGAAACAGAAAGTGGCTTCAGGAACTGGCAGGCGATACTTGGAATATCTAATCCACAGTCATGTGTTGTTGTTTTTTTCTTGATGATACCAGGCTTGGGCGCTGTTCAAGGGGAAATACAGGGAAGGGGTGGACAAGCCGGACCCCCCAACTTGGAAAACGAGACTCCGCTGTGCCCTCAACAAGAGCAATGACTTCGATGAACTTGTGGACAGAAGCCAGTTGGACATCTCAGACCCTTATAAGGTCTACAGGATCATACCTGAAGGAGCAAAGAGAGGTAAAGTCCACTACAGATGGCCTAGAAATGACTCCTGCATGTTAGTAGTAGGGAAGGCTGGCTTCGATTGCTGACCATCACCTTCTTTATCATCCTCAGACATGTCCAAAGAAGGCTTTACGCATCCGGACTGAAGTAGCCACATTTTAAGTGGGTTTTGTGTTAAGATGGGAAGCAAAATATAAATGCATGCCTGGTTTAATCATGCAAGATTGACCTGACGTGACCTTTAACTTAGCAAATGTTGGTTTCATCCAAGCAGAAATATCTAATGTCCAGCAAAATATAAACTACGATGTCTTACAGATGATTAATCAATTTTAAGATGACTTGAAAATGTCCACTCAAGACGTCTCCAAGTGTCTTGACATCATCTGCACCCAGTATGCGTCCCAGTGAAGGGTTCTGGTCTTTGTTTAGCACGTTGAACTGTCTGTAACCTCTGTAGTCACCATGTCAGATTGCTCCGCCACATTGCGTTTGAGACGTTTAAGCGCGCTGAGCATCTCTTTTGATGTTTTAGAGCATCGCGTTTGGTAAATCACATGCATCGAATCGTATTTCTTTGCCATGCTGCAGAGAAAAACCAAAACATCCTGATGCGTCTGCCTTGCCTCAGCAAACTGCATACATTGAGCAAAAAATGAAGACTTTCTGTGCATTGACTTTGAGCACTGTGACTTGCTCTTTCACTCAGTAGAGCAGGAAGCTCAGAGGAAGCCACCACATGTGCTAAACTCCCTCAATGCTTTTTATAGAGGGCTTCGGTTACCAAGTGCACAGAACCAAGCAGCGCTGCTGCCCCTTGGGCCTTGCATAACATGGGCCTGTGCGATCAGGGGTCAAGAGGATTGAGACTTGCTTTGCCTTTCACACGTTCAGAACGACTGGTCAACGAGGCTAGCTAGAGGCTCAGATAGGAGAGAGAAGTGTCACGGTTCTACTTCTATTCTTGGAGCTTGTATATCAAGGCTAACTATAGATAATTACCTCAGGCTAGATGCGAACAAGTCACGAGCAATCCGTAGACAAACACACGGGCTGTTTTTTGTTTGGTCAGATCTGAAACCCAGTTATGTGAAGTACAGAATTAGCTAGCAACTTAATAATAAATTTAGGCATAACAAAAAATATGTATGACCAGTGTTTTAGCAGTTTGGCCTACCTGTTGGGGGTGTTATTGTGCATGTGTGTATCTTTAGTGTAGGGTTGGACTTTAGGTTTTCTATGTTTTTATCAATGTTTTATTGTGTTTTTAATGTTAAATCAGCTTAACTTCAAGTATATTATACAGACCTGGCTTAACATTTTTACTTACCCTTTGATAAGGTCATTTAGGCAGTCAAAAAATGGCCCACTTATAGTTTTATGTAAGGATATAAATATGCTTTACTGTATGACATTTTAGTAGGACAATTCGTCAGAACAACAGGATGTTACTTAGCCCTTATATGATGTTAAACAAATGCTAAGTTACACAAAAATGCAAAAAAAAAAAAAATTCTAAAAATTTTCAGATTTAGCAAACTTAGAGATATTTCATAAGATTAGCATATGAATATGTTCTATATTCATAAATGCTAATCGGTAGCCATGCACTTCATTATTAAAATGCGTAAATTCCTAAACAAATATTTCTCATATTGTGTTTCTTCCATTTGATCAACTTAAAATGTTGGCTCTGAAGATGCACAAAAGACTACCTGGTGTTGTGAGAAACCGTTACATGTTCGCTAAAATAGCATCAGTCAGTCCAGGGTTACATCTTTTTTGGGCCACATTCAGTCCATATTTGATCTTTTGCGTCATTGTTTTTCTATTGTCCCTAAACTATTTCTGCTTTTAAAGTGGAAATAACTGTGTTTTTCGCTTATTCAGGCTCCAAATCTAGCAGCATTGAGGACACCTCTGCTCACGTGACCCCCCTTAGTTACTCCATGCATCCTCCTTATCCTCCTCTCCAGTCCCAGGTAAGCTAGTAGTGAACTTTGAGCGTTTTTAGTCCCTGTGTATCAGGGCAACTTCTCAGTGACAACAAGCAAATGACCATTTCTGGTTGCTATTTTCAGTTGTTCCCCTGTTCATTCAAGCAGATAACAATGAAAACATCTACATTACCAAGTGCATCTCACATTATTTTAGAGGTTCAAGTTAAACTGTCAACTCATAAGACTGAATGATCTTTTTGACACATTACTCACGTGTTCTTTTGTTCACAGATGTCGAGCTACGTGCTGTCCCCAGAAAGGAGGGACTGGAGGGAGTACAGCACAGAGCAGCCGCACCACCAGCCGTCGCACGCAGAGCTGTCTTACGGCCCGTGCCCTTACCCTCCTGCAAGGCCTCTACAGTGGCACGCGCCGCCCTGCGATAATGGTACACCCTCAGCGTTTTCTACACCTTTACATTACACCACTATGAATAGAATGTCACATACCTGAGAGTTCCGTTTGTGATGTAACAATAGCCAACACAAGTTCTAGAACATAACTGAAAGTTTGAGAACCATTATGTCACAGTTGTACTTATTGTTTATGTAACTATGGCCAAAGCAGGTTCTAGAACATTACTGAAAGTTTGAGAACTCTCACAGTTGTACTCATTTGTGATGTAACTATGGCCAACGCAAGTTCTAGAACATTACTGAAAGTTTGAGAACTCTTACAGTTGTACTTATTGTTTATGTAACTATGGCCAACGCAAGTTCTAGAACATTACTGAAAGTTTGACAACTCTTATGCCACAATTATACTTTTTGTTGATGTAACAATAGCCAACACAAGTTCTAGAACATTATTAAAAGTTTGAGAACTCTCACAGTTGTACTTATTGTTAATGTAACTGTGGCCAATGCAAGTTCTAGAACATTAGTGAATGTTTGAGAACTCTTATGTCACAGTTTGCACTTAATTTTGATGTAACTATGGCCAATGCAGGTTCTAAAACATTACTGAATGTTTGAGAACTCTTATGTCACAATTGTACTCAATGTTGATGTAACTATGGCCAATGCAAGTTCTAGAACATTATTAAAAGTTTGAGAACTCTTACAGTTGTACTTATTGTTAATGTAACTATGGCCAACACAAGTTCTAGAACATTATTAAAAGTTTGAGAACTCTTACAGTTGTACTTATTGTTAATGTAACTATGGCCAACACAAGTTCTAGAACATTAGTGAAAGTTTGAGAACTCTTATGTGGTTATCAATTCTGCTGTTGCCAACCGTGCTTTACCCCACCTGCTCCATCTAAATATTGCCTTCAAAAGTCCTTGATTTACTGAATGAGGTGTGTTAGATTGGGTTGGAGGTGAACGCTGCAGGAAGGTAGATGTCCAGGATGACGGTTGGTGACCACTTTTCTAGAACATTATTGGAAGTTTGAGAGCTATCGTAGTCATGCCTTGTTTGTGACGTAACAATGGCCAACATAGGTTCTAGATGAAAATTAACGAAAGTTTGAGAGCTATCATAGTTGTACCTTCTTTGCAATGTAACAATGGCCAAAACAAGCTCTAGAACATTATTGTAAGTCTGAGAACTTTTATATAGTCACTCTATACATTCTCAACATCTTTAATGTAACCTCAACAACTTCCTCTATTTCCCACTTTGAACCTTTGTAGCTAAAGAGAAGAAAAAATGTTTAAATGTTTGCTGCAACAGTATCCATGTTATGGGCTGTGTGAAGATAGTTAATGTGTGAAAGTTTTATTTTATGAGTAACGTAACCTAATCTAGGCCATCTGATGCATTAAGTCTTAGGAATGGAGGTAGTTATTTGAATATATGTACTTCCAAACTCAACTTAGTATTCAAATAGTTGGCACATTATCTTGTAATTTTTAAATTGGCAATTTAAATTGCAGTGAACGCAGGAATGAATGTGACATACTATCCAACGAAAAACAAATATGTCCAAAAACATTCTTAACTTTCAATGTAAGTTAATGTAAAGAGGTTTTATCCCAAGCAATTTGGAGCATTTCTATTGGTCCATTCATCCTCAAATTCAATCACACAATGTAAAGGGCAGCTGCTTGGCTGAAATGATGTAGAAAAGTAAAATTAAAAAAAAATGGAGATAATTTTGATGATGTGTTTGCGGTCATAAACTGCATGGACGTGATAGAAAATGTCTGGAACCGTACTAAAACATACCCTGTGTAAGAACATGGTTTAGTTTAACTAGCTCTTAGTGGAACCGAAAAGCAGATAGCTCAGATGGCTAAGAACAGGCTAAGACACTCCATAACAATAACATTGAGCGTAAGGCTTTAAGTTAAAGTATTTTCTGAAAATTTATTTAAAAAACTTCTAAACAAAGTAAAGAATCTGTTACATGTATATCTTACCAGCGTCATACGTCCTTATTTACGTAGAGCTGCTGTAAGTGGTAGTAAATCCAGTGTAGAGAAGAGAAAGTGCACCTGTTAGCTTGGTGCTAATGTTATATAGTTATTTTATAGAGCTGCTAGCAAAAAATAGCATTAGTGTACCAATGAGAAGCAAAGACTTTTCAAAGGAAACATATTATATATATATATATATATATATATATATATATATATATATATATATATATATAATATATATATATACACACACACACACACACACACACATATATATGAATGTATGCATGTGTGTGTGTGCTAGCATAAATGAGAGACAGTGAGCTTGTTTTGAGCAACCACATGCTCCATGTTATAAGGAAGCTGTGTCCACATTTTCTGTTGCAATTTATTTTTTGATATTACTTTCTTTATCATTTATCATCTTGGTTTATCTTAGTTCTTTTTAGAACCGTGTTGGCTGTCATTAGCCTCTGTTATCTTGTTGGTGCACAATTTCTCAGTCAGTTTCTCTGCACTAGCCTCATCCGAATTGTTAGGTCATTTTCAAGCCTTGCATAAAATGAATGAAGTTTGTTAGAAACCAAAACGAGAATGGAGTGGTTGGAGTGGAGGCGTCTTTAGGTAGCAGACCCGAGAAAGACTGTTCTTTACACTTTAGTGGCCGCTGATGCTTCACACAGCTTTTGTCTGGTAACGTAGCAACTCCGCAAATAGAAACTGCACAGAAATATATATGACTGAGAGCGTATGTGCCTTCAGAGACAGTTTACCAAGCATAAAGGTGCTCCACAAGTTGAAGAATGCAACATTCCAGTCCATTAATACACCGCTGCATGCTTACAAGTTAACTTGAAACCATTACCTAATTTCAGCTTTTTTATTACTATTGTCAATAACACATCTTGACAGCTTTACACGATCATGCAGCTTGTAAATCAGTTTGTGTTAGATATAAGCGCTCAGTTGCGAGTGACCCAGTATAACAAGTTTGAGTCCGATGTCAAATTTAAGGGGCTACAAATTCTGATAACCATTAACAATGCCTGATTTAATTTTATTTTTTTTACATTTTAATGTTTATTTCAATGGTTTTAGTTAAATATGACTGATAAGATCTTATGCAATTGACAGTTTACTAAAATAACAGTTAATACTTGGTACAGTGGTACAGTTATTCACTGTGTTTCAAGCTACAAATATTTGGGAATTGGATATTTTAGGATGAGATGTGTTAGACTTCGGCTGGTTCTGAATGTAACATTCTCATCGACAGATTTTGGTAAGAAAGCATCTTCATGCAATGCTCTGTTAGTGTGGAATAACTTTCACCTGAGTGCTAAAATTCAACATCTTTTACCTTTCAGTCAATTTAAAATACCTTTTAAAAACCGGATCGATTAGAGTTGTGTTTTTCCTAATATTATGTCATTTCTGCCTTGTTTATTTATTTTCTTTGATATAGGATTTTACTACGTCTTACAGGACGTTGGTCTCAGCGGGCTAGGCTGCCCCTGTATAAATACAATAAATAAATGCATTAATTTATTAATTCATTTAATCAGTAAGATTGCTTAGACTGATTTGATTGCAGTTGTAAATTGTGAATTAAATATTCACAAATATGACTTTTTTTTTTCTTAATAAGGCATGATCTTGTTCCCATGCCTAACTATGTCGTGGCTACGACTTAATTATATCATTCCCACGCCTTACTGAGTCATGACGACGCATTATTTTTATTTATATGGGATGTCACCAGCAGGACTCCGTAATAATAATGTTATTCTAATGCTAAAGGTTAAGTTCGGATATCTTGGCCAGTCAATATATATCAGTTGAGCTCTTACGTTTACAAAGGGGTAAAGAAATGTCATGCATTAAAAGGTCAATAAGGTGAAAAACTGTAAATGATGCTGGAGAGTTTGAAATTGATGTTGGTGAAAATTAACATGCCCTCTAATAGTCCACAATCTCTTCCAGGGTACCAGATATCCGGATCCTTCTATACCTACACCCCGACAGAGTCCCATCCAGTGTCAGTGGACCCCAGTATGAGATCAGCAGAAGCCATGGCCATCTCTGGTAAAAACACACACACACACAACTGAACAATCCACACATTTTGGGCTGTCGGTGTCTTTCTCTTGAAACCTTACATCGCTAAAATTAGTTTTTGTCCTAATTTGGTAGAAGTCGGTTCCAGGTGGTGAAGGTTTCCCCTTCTAATACACCAGCTTCCTATCTCGTATTAATAATGAGACCTGTGTGTTTACAAAAAGAGGAACTCACATAAAGGATGTAGTTCATTTTAAAAGGCCCATATAATTGGAAAAACAAAAAAAGTTTCCTTCCTGAAACGAAAGAGTTTGTCGTAGTGTGCAAACATGGTTAAAAGTTTGAAAAAGTAACATGAACCCTTAGTTCATACAGCCCATGTGTGGAAACTAAGCTGCAAAGTCAGTTTATTTGAAGTTCACTTTATTTGTGGTCACCAAAATTAGTGTGTTTCCATATATCCATCTATGCAGCCCTTTTTGTTTAGCCCCGCCCATCTTCGCTGAAGTCATAAGGAGTGTTTCAGCCCAGATTGCTTTTTGAATGAGGCACAATTACAGAACAGGCAGAGTTCATTTACATATATCAGTCTTAAATGGCCAGCAACAAAAGTAGCTTGATTAATGGATCTTGATCTATGGAATAAAGAGACAAAATGGTCATATAAACAAAAATTATGGCTGTTTTTTGGTACATAAAACTGCACAAATGAGAAATATGCTCACTATAGGATATACTGTTATATATAAAAATAGGCAGTAGTAGCATTTATCTCAAAACCTGAATCTTGTCTGTTCTTTTGTCCTTTTTTCAAAGCTTTTTCTAAGTTCTCATCTTTCCCTCTCTTTCCAGATTTCCGCCTTCACGTGGCCCTCTACTATCGGGAGTCCCTGGTGAAAGAGGTGACAACCACGAGTCCTGAAGGCTGCCGGATCTCCTCCTCCCCCTCTCCATCCTCTCCCTCCTCCCCCTCCTCTCCATGCCCAGAGGACAGGCTGTATGGGGCGGGCGAGTCTGTGCTCTTCCCCTTCCCCTACCCGCAGTCACAGCGCCGCGGCGCCGACAAGCTGCCCAATGTGTTGGAGCGGGGTGTCCTGCTGTGGCTGACGCCTGATGGACTTTACGCTAAGCGGCTGTGTCAGAGCAGGGTGTACTGGGAAGGGCCACTGGCGCAGTACTCGGACAAGCCCAACAAGCTGGAGAAGGAGCAGACCTGCAAACTGATGGACACGCACCAGTTCCTCTCAGGTGAGAAACAGATCCGCCTCTGCTTTGTGATGCACCACAAACCAGTATAAATTTTAGAATTCAGCTAGAAATTGGCAAAAGAAAAGAATCTGTCTGGCTATGAAATCTGTCCGTCAAACCTTGCATCAACATTAGATAAGAGGAAAATTAAAAAATTGACTGTAAAACTGAAGTAAATGAAAAGCAAACTTGTACTTTTTTTGTTGCAGTACTGAGTCAGGAAATAAAAACACACTAAAATATGATGCACATGCGCCGCTGCTGCTGTGTCAGGTTTGATTTGGCAGTTCTTTTTCTTTCGACATCTTTATGCATGAATGTCATAAAGAAAAAAGAAGGTTCGGCTCAGTGTTTGTCTCTTAAATGCAAAATCAACATTATACTGTTGAAGATATGATAACAATAATCCCCTCACATCCTCAGAAGACACCTCCTTCACACTCGCAATCAGATTCATCCACTTGAGGAGGGGGTCCTAAGCATAGCCCACGTTATGAATGTTCCTCCAAATGAGGTGTGCATTTCCACATTTCCACCAGAGAGGGCTCCGAATCCTGAAAACTTACATAGTGCAGCTTTATAAATTTTTCCTTGTCACATAAAGTTTCTGTTTCAGAGATTTTCCGTTGTTTCAGAGACAGTATGAAATTTAAACAAGCTCCGTGTTGTTGCAGTGCTAAATAGCTAAATAGTCATTATCAAGTCAATATTTGGTAGCTTAGTGACAGTGTTTGCACATTGTCAGCCTGTTGCTAAGCCATCAGAGGAGATCTGATCACACTAACAAACCCATGGACATCATAAGCTTTCAGGACTAGCATTAATCCATGCTATCTAGATGCTGTATATACATCTGTCAAGGCTTTAAATTATTAATACAGCAGGAAACCTGAACTGGTTGATGTTCAGCAAATGCTCTACAGCTACAAGATCTTGTAAAACAAAGACTGTTTTTTTTTTTTTTTATTTTGGGAGAGCTTAGGAATGACATTTAGGCTTAACATTTGGTCACAGATGGTTACAGTCATAGGTGATCGAGACTGAAAGCATGAGCTGGAGCTCAAAACCACCAATGACTGTTGCCTGCATTTAAAGCAAGTTTTCTGAGGGTTTTTTGACCTTCAGTGTAAGGTTTCCAAACAGGCTCTCATATTTAAAATGCTAATTTTTAGTAGCTGAAGAGGAAGAGTGACATGATAATGCTGTTATTCTGATGATGTTGATGACGAAGAGAAGGGTGGCAAGTGGAGAGCAGACCTGTCATGTTGATGAGCAGAAATGGAGAGTAAATCAAAGAAAATGATTTTGATTGTGATAAAAGCCATGAGGAAAAGTGCAAAGGAGTCATGATAAGAAGAAAGATACTGTTTATGCCCTTTGAAAAGTATTGAAATGTCAAAGAGTGCTGTGACCTTGAAGTGTCATCACTTATATGTTATATCATGTATACCCATATATGAAGTATCGGTAGCACCTAGTCATTTCTTACTCTGACTAGGTGCTAAGCTGCTAACTGTCTGCTACATAAAACGCTGACTGAGTAATATATACTATAGAACCGGTTTGGGAATTACACAAAGGTCTTAAAGGGGTTAATGTGCTTTGATTACGATCTGAAGTGAAAGCTGTTTAGTGAATTTGAAGGTGGGTGGAAGGTGTAGAAATGCAGCCGTGCCCGATTCAGGCCATTGGTGGAAACAGCTAGTGCCAGGCTATCGGTGGCATGTACTTGTAACCTTTTTCCTTCAACCTGTTTGTGGTTCACCTCATAGCATGACCACTATTAGTTCAGTCAGCAGTGTCACATATTTCAGTCACTTTAGAAATTCAAACTCAGAGCCTGAGGACTTTCCAGAGAACTTTCAGGCAAATGCTGTCGACCCCCCAGTTACACAGCCCCTTATATAAGCTGAGCACACTTGCCATCTCATCTCTCTGAACTAGTCATCAGGGCCCCAGTTCAGAGTGGGAAAGGGGTCTTATGATCACCATATTGCTCATCAGGTGCTTTTGTACTGGACTGGAAGAAGGAAACAGAATGACTGTCAGAGCAGAAATCACAGTCCTATTTTGAGGATTCCTATCAGAGGTACTAGTCTTCAGTCCCAGGGGGATACATCCCCCCTTCAGTGTACATTCAAGTGTTTCCATACAGTATGCTAGCACCTGATTCAAAGGAACTCAATCAAAGCCTTTAACAGAGTACTGAAAATGCTAACTTAAGTAGGAGTATTGGCCTTATTAAGGAAAATTAAAAGCAAGTTGTTCATCAAAACACCTTCAAATTCAGATAAGTACTCTGAGTTATCTTAAGTTCATTTCCGCCTTCCATAAAGAGGATCCAATGCTAAAGGCTGGTGTCCTAGATTTATAGATGGCTAACTAAGCTGCCGGTTAGCATGCCATAAACGTTAACTTGTACATACATTAGGTAGTTAACAGGCGCTTGCAATAGAACATACAAGCAATAGTTTTGTGATTAATAAATAGGTATCATTCTAAAATGACAGTATAAAAAGAAAACAGTAAAAGAACAAAGTAGCTATTAAGCTCCGATTAGTTAGCCAGTCAGCTAATTGCTTCCTCGGGTTTTCTTTCACTCTGTAAGTTTATTGAAAATGATTCAATACTGCAATAACAATAAACCCAAGTAAACAGAGTTTTTTATGATTTATTTACGGTCAAAAAAAGGACCGTAAACTCTGCAATGTTGTGGCACTCCCAGACCCACTTGAGCAACATTGTATTTTTTCCCTACAGTTTCATAATCTGGGCGATCAACACGTTCTATTAAAGAAACAATGATTCATTTATTTATTTTGTTCAGGAATGTTTAGATGTTTTGCACGGACGGCTATTCTTTTTTCCTCAGCTCATCCCAAATGAAACACACCCTTCGCATGTCATTCCATTAGCTCATAATCTGTAGTCTGTAATACCAAATTCTAGACTGCAGTCACTGTGTTTGTCTAAAATCTATAATAAGCAGTAAAAGAGCTGGAAGAATTACTATTCCAATAATAATTATAATTAATAATGATTATGAAGTATTAAACTTTTATGAATCTACAATTGAATCGTGTTACAGAGGTAGATAAATGGAGTGTTAGGAGTCTTGCCCAAGGCCTCTTAATAGTATAGTGTAGTGTTCTCGCACAGGCAAAGAACTGAACTTCAGTCTGCTGCATGGAGGAGTTATCCACTATGCTATAGAATGAAATGAAACTACTCAAATAGCATCTGTGTTTATTTACTATGTCCTTTTAATTTTGCCATTCTGTTGGCTCATAATCTGTAGCCATCATTGTCAAATCTCAGCTAAATAAGTCCTTCTCCTCTGTTCACAGAGTTGCAGGGTTATATCCATCATGGACGCCCCATGCCAAGATACCAGGTGGTGCTGTGCTTTGGAGACGAGTACCCAGATCCACAGCGACAGAGCAAGATGATCACAGCTCAGGTGCGTTTATACTATAATAGCTTTCTGCCAAAGCTCTCTGAAAGGCTTTAAAACAACACTGATCAGAGACTGTGACTGGCACAGGCCTCCAAGTGTTACATAATGCAGCAGAGGGACTTGAAAATATTTGCCTAAAGGGTTTTTGGAAAGTCCTCAGGCTCTGGGGTCCTGAAGTGACTCAAGCAGATAAAACATGATACTGCTAACCAGACTAATACAGTTTATGCCATGAGTTTAGAGTTTATTTTTACCAAATCTTGAAAAATACTAGAGAAAACGTTTGTCCTGTTAATAATATTAGTGTTGTATCACATCCAAATATGTGGGTTATTGCTTCTTCCCACTTCTCAGTTGACCTGACTAATTCATTCCCAAGTCGTTGGTGAAAATTGAGGCAGTTTCTCTTGTGTAGGACAGGATTTAGTGGTGAAGTCTAATGCTAATCCCAATTTTGGGGCTAGAGCTGGATTCTGTTCATAGTGAGTCATAGTGAGTCTTGGCTTAGCTAGAACGCTGCTCTTTTGGTTTTGCCTGCAGGTTTACATGAAAAGTTACTAAATTTAGCAATTTTTTTTTTATTTTGTAGACAGCCTAGGTGGCATCCAAAAGACCTGCATATGAAGTCTTTTATCTATTTTTAATTAGATAATGAGAAGTAAGAAGTCATCAAAGTGGAGTGGAAATACACAGGAACATGTAGGAGGTGACTAAGAGGAACATAAAATGAGCAGGACCTTAAACTTGAAAAATGTCACTCTAAATGTCATCAGCTCAAGTAGATGAAAAAGTCTGATCGACTCAGTTAACACTATTTCAAAATAATTGTATTTTAATGGATACACGAGTCATTGCGTCGTCTATGTGTTTTTACATGTCTAAAAGAGTGTGTTTACTTGTAACCTAGTCCACAGGGTACAAGGTAACACTTGGTCAAATCCTAATGCTGTTAGGAAAATATTGCTGTTGTCGGAACAAAACCTTGTATCTCCATTTTTGAAGTTTTTTTTTTCAGTTTTCAGTTGAAAATGCCTGTTGCGCTTTATATTGTGTGTAACTTTCATGATGAATGGACCACAAGAAATGACCCATGACTTGGAAAAAAGTCTGGTTCCATTGACTTAAATTAAAAGTAAAGTAGGTTTTTTCCTTCTCCTGTGAGGTTATCATTTTGGAGATATTCACAGCATTTAGCAGACTCACTTATCCAGAGCGACTTACAAAAAGTGCTTTGTCTGTCTAGAGAAAGTATCTTTGCTAGTTACCAATAGGTTAGATAGAAAGCCAGTCCTGAGCTCAGATACTGCTAGAAACAAAAGTCCATGTTGATACCTAGAGAAAAGAAAGAGTTAAACACAGTGCAGTGCAATACATTTCAATAAGTGCAGTACAATACATTACAATGAATACTTACCTCAAGATATCAAGGTTTTGTTCCAACAACAGCAATATATATAAAAAAATACATGATGATGGCCAGATGCACACATTTGTTAGTAAATGCAAAGTAGTTGAACTTGCTGAACCTACTGTGAAGGCTGTGCTCATTGGTGTGCAAACCTTGGACCTTCTGTATGTACTGTTCCAAGTGGCTATTTAACGGTACTGCGGTATGAATGGCTCACAAGCCTCAGCGATTCCCAAGTTGCCCAGTTTAGAAATGCAGTTTGCAGCATATTTGGTTGTTCCAGCATCAAAAACCAGGACAGAAATAAAGAAAAATGCTAACATGACAAATACTGATAACCTTCACATAAACAGCATAGCCCATTTCTGTATAAAGTGGATGTGCTCTGGTTTGGCGAACACTGTAAAAGCTACAGAGCTTGAGGATAATGCGTTATAGCGCTGCCACAAAAGAATGTGTCAAGTTTTTGTTGGGTTAGAGTTAGCAAGTCGCTTCACGTGTGCAAAATGAATGAAGGTGTGCATATAGTTTGCACGTGGTTTAATGGTGCTTTTGGATGGTCTTCGTCAGTTTGCAGGAAAAGAACTTGCAAAAAAACTGCCTTGGCCCCAAATTTCAAAATTTATATTCATTTGCATTCTGGTAGTCATTAGCATGTTGTAAATGTATCACTTACAGTATATCTGCCGGCATGGACCAGTGCTAGCTTGATATATTCTGTTTGGTAACAGAACTTATTAACTCAGACTTTGGCAGCTATTTGAGTGCAGCTTCCTTGTGGAAAACCTACGTTGCACCATAATTCAAAAGGGCACCATAATTCAGCCCTTTTGTATAAAACAAACCTAAATTTTTGAGCCAATAAATTGACATGGTTTCAGTACTACATCCCTGATCTAGCTAATCAAGACCATCTGAAGACGAAAAGTTCTAATTTAGAGGCTTTCCCAATTCTAACAGCCAGTGTTTCTCTTGTTTCCCAGGTGGAGCCCATGTTTGCCAGGCAGCTCCTGTACTTTGCGGGCCAGACCAACGGTCATTACTTGCGGGGTTATGAGATTCCTTCTCAGGGGGCACTGCCTGTGGAGGACTACCAGAGAAGCCTCCAGCACATGCAGGAATGAACTCCTAATAAGGAAACCCAGAACAGACTCCCTCAGCAATGCTTCTCTTCCATCAGCCTGCCCTGTTTCTCATTGTGGAAGGAAGTCTACAAACAGCCACAACATGGAAGCCCCAGCAGGCGAGAAGAGTCAGGACTGAGATGAACTGCAAAACTGTCAAAAAAAAAGACAATTCTTGATATGCCTCACAAAATCAGAACCAAGGAGGCCAGACAGGTACATTACTTTTTACCCAAGACCATGATTGTCAGCATTTCATGCAATTTACATAATAATGAAAACCAAAATATTGATGACAGACCTGGTGCTGGGCAGTGCTGATAAAATTCAATGGGCCTCATTCACCAACCGAAATTTCTTAAAACCCACTTACGCAGTTTTTACGAAGATTCTGACATTCACCAATGTTTTCTTACTTGAGATTTGTTTTTAGGTAAGAACGGAATCTACACATACGTAAGAGCACAAAGGTGCGAACAATTCTGCAGTTTATGAAAACATTATGAATCTGACGTAGACTTTTTCTTAGCACCTTTCTCAAGAACAAATTTAAGGAAAAATGTAGGAAGATATTAGTGAATGAGGCCCAATGTTACAATATTTCTCAATACAGCTAAAATTAAAAATCAGTATTTTGTGCAACACCCTTACTGTTATCTGAGTGTGGACGATATATCTGCCAGCAGCAGATGGATCTCTGGGCAAGGTACTCTCATGTATACATGAAGTATGAAAAAGAAGCCTTTAAATACGCAAACTACGTGAAGTTGTAACAAACTTTGCATCGGAAATGCTGCCCTTGCAAAAATAAATATCCTGTAAAATGCCACATTTTTCATCTCCATTTTGTATTTGTTTTTATACTTCAGTATTAGAGTTTTGTATTAGTTTCGTACTTTGTTCTCAGGACCATTTTGAGTGTAGTTTTCCTTCTTGTTCTATGACCAACTTTAACTTTTTCACTTTGACATAGAAATCAAGCTATCATTTTTTTTGTTTGTTTTTTTTTCCTGCCTTTTTCTAGTGTACATTGTTCAACATGATTGAAAGTCTATTTATATTTTTATACTGTGTGATATTGTATGTAGGTTTCTGTGTCTGACCTGAACTGTGTTCTGAAGATGTCTAATCTTGAATGTAATCAAAGCTATTTTGTTTTCCCTGAACGAAGTGTCTCAAGAAGTTATATAATGCCGAATACTAAGAAGGAGTAAGTGCTTCTGAGACTTGTTAGCTACAGATGAGTCTATATCTTTTAATCAAAGACTGTCATCTTTTCTGGTGCCGAGTGAGTGTGCATGTGTGAGTCTGTGTGTGTGTGTCTCTGTGGTGTACTGAGTGCTGATGGGAAACTGTCACATGCAGGTAACTGCCCACAATACTGTGGTAATAGTGTAGAAAGGTTACAATGAAAATGATGGGAGGGGAAAGACCTTTCCTTCTCCCCCTATCTATCTCTTCTCCCTCCTTTGGTTGCTCTCTTTCTCTTTTTACAGTCTTAGATTTTTGTAAAGTTGTCATTGATTTCTGTAATTCTTTTTTTTAGCCTGTCATTGTGATGTTTCTGACAATCATGTGATGAAATATAAAATGAAAATAAAGATTTGTTTGTCCCAATGTATTTTTTTTTGCTCCCATTTATTAGTCCTGGGATGATAACTGAGATTATGGAATATTGCGATAACTTAAATGCTGTTATTATGCAAATTAGCATTCTTCTTTCTCTTTTACGGCCCACAGAAATTATTTTATATTGGTTCACCTTTAATTATTCACTCATTCCTTTTGTACAATCATTCTAATCTATGGCTAGTTTGAAAATGCATATGATAGAAAAAATGCACTTTATGCAATTATGAGTTACATAGATCACATCACCAACTAATTAACTACATACATACTTTAAACACTTATATGCAAACTTGTCTCCTTTTGGCAAAATAGACCATTTTATGGTGGACTTGCCATTCACACGGTTTGAGAAGATTTTTCAATTTCATTAGCATACCACCCCTCAGATAGCGTCACCAAAATGTGAAAACAGAGCCATGTTTCATGATCAGTGAAGTTGGTTTCATATTTGCATATTCAGATTTCTTTCTATGCTTTCAATCAGTGGGTGGAAAAAGAATGCAATCATTTCTGTGGCCAGTCTCACCACTGTGAGAGCTACTACTGTCTACACCTCACATCACTGGTGGCAATCACAGGGGTCCAAGCACTATAGCCCTAAAGAGCCAGTAGAGCAAAAATGATGGGCACAATGTTTAGAATGGCATATTTTTATAATACATGTCAACCAAACCAACATGGAAACCCACTGGTGGTTACCAGTGTCACATGGGTCCAAGCACTATGAGCCCTAAAGAGCCAGTAGAGCAAAAATGATGGGCACAATTTTTAGAATGGCATCATTTTGTAATAGATGTGGGGTCTCAAAAGATATCTGCCAAATTTCATACACTGATCTTATGATCTTGGTATGGTAAGTAACAGTACAATATTTGGACATGTTTGCATAGTTGTTGAACTCAATGAACTAAATATTTCCACAGTAATTACCTTGTACCCTTGTATTGTCTCAGAATACACTACAATTTCATATTGAAATAACCACTACTATTTTCTCCTAGGAATGATGCAATTGGACGCTGCTACAAGGGATTAGTTTCTGAACTTGACGTGAGTTTTCATGTCTGTAAATGCCACTTGGAAATATTATAATGTAGATTTTCAGTCTGCTGGGAAATATGCAAATGAAACAAAGAAACTGACAAAGAGTATAGGTTGTGTAGAAGAGCTACACGAAATCTACTCTTCGTTAGAAAGCAAAATGGATGAGCTTGTGCAAACATGCCGGTTTGACAATATTTTGGTTTTCAACCAAACCAACATGGAAACCCACTGGTGGTTACCAGTGTTACCTGTATTTTGTGCAGAATATAATTAAGTAGCTTCAGAAGCTAGCCTAGTTTATAGTTATATGGTTGTTATGTTACCATCAGAGAAAATGCAACATATAGGGTGGGACTCATGCATGGTACTTTGCAAATGAATCAAAGTATTGTAAATTGCAATGATTCTGCAAATTATCATTGTGTAAGTTTACAATACAGTCCAAACTTATTATATATTATACTATTGAAAGTCTGGTAATGTGGGTGTACAAGCATGAATGCGTGCTTCTGTATGCATGTGGCCATCCATGCATACAAGTGTATGTGTGTCTATGCATGTACGTTTGCTCACTTATCAGTGAGTGTTTGTGTGTGTCCTCATGTTTAACTTTCAGATATGCTTGAGTGATGGCAGTCGAGAGGGGCGTGTGGTTTGGGGGCAATAAAAACAGAGCGACAGAGAGACAGAGAAAAAAGAGAGAGAGAGACAGGAAGTTACATTCACAGGTGCACAGGAAAGGCTGGCCCACAAGAAAAACAAAAAGAGAGAGAAAGATGGGGTTGGAGGCTCAAGGGCCCCACCATGTAACGCAACCCATTATGGCTATTGTGCTCAAACTACACTTAAACAGAAGCTTGAATGATGTGGAGCACTGCACATACCAAAACGGATTGTACCAATGTGGAGTGAATCATAAAAAACAAATTGTAAAAGATGGCTTTTCTGAATCACAGCAAAATTTGTCTAAATCAGAACAAGTGGAAGGTCTCCAGGAAAAAAGCTGATAGATTCCAACCGCACTCCTGTTTCAAACAATAATACAATAAAACAATAATTTCAGTTTCTTATTTCAGGTTATATATTTTGATACAAATGCAAACACTCTAGATACACTAAAAAAACCCTTATAGTCTCTCACTGCAGGCCCCCTAAAGGCTACTTCAACTGTCCCAACAATTTCTGTTACTCCATCATGAAATTTTAACACAATATAATTTTCAAATTCTATATGTGTGTTTGTGTACATATAATCCTCCCTCAGGGTAGCATTCTCTTTTTCGGGGGCACCGGAGCAGCAAAAAGCCTGAGCGCTGCGTCCTCCACCCCAATGCGACGGATCTCCTTGCAGCTCGCGGTGTCAAACGTTATGCTATTGGGGGCAGAAACAGCAGCACAAACAGCAGCAGCAATGCTTCCTTGGCTGCTCTCCACTTTCTCTGCTGCCCACTGCGCTGTAGACGCCAGCGAGGCTGCTGCTTGTGTAAGCTGGAGCTCTGACACTAGGCCTTGCCGCATCACCTCCAGCCTCCAGCTGCACCATGTCAGCTTCGCTGGCCAGGTATCCTCAACAACAGGCTCTGGTGGCTGGATGCTGTCCTCCAGCCAGGCTCCGCCATCAAGCCTCCTCACGCTGCCTTGACTGCCGTCTTCTCGCCACCTTGCTCTTCCTCACAGTCCTCGGCCAGGCCCGGTCTACTCCGCCGTTACGCTGCTGGCTTCACTATTCCCTTCCAGACCGCTAGGGGACAATCTTACTTCTGACACCACTGTGGTGCTGTCATAAAAGAAAAAAATGTGGGAAACAGCCCTTCAAAATACTAAAATTTGAATACCTAAAATTTGAAATATTAAATTTTCTTTTCAATACAGTTAATGGTCCTGCCTGACAATCTGTCTGATGTCACAATTACATTTTCCCTGGCAGGAATCACATACCTGCGTTTACACAAATGTCACAGAAATGGGTTGAAAAACAAATCATATCACTCCAAATTACTCTGTTTTCGCTTGCCTATATATTGCTATATATATATATATATATATATATATATATATATATATATATATATATATATAAATCGCAGCTACTGGAAAGACCATTTGGGCAATGCAGGGATGAGGTAAAAGTTCGCTCTACTGACAGATTTTAGCATACATAATCATAGGCATGAATAACTCCGATTTTGGGGGAAACATTTGGCCAAAGCATAGATCAGTCAGCAGAAGTTTGCTAGCTACTTAAGACTATTTTGTGAGATTGTGTATGCCTCTAAGCTAATTAATTTCAAGAGGGGACCTAGTGAGTGAAGAATTATTACTAAAATATTGATTGAATATCTTAGACTCTGATATTCCTTTAAACTGCGTGTAAACGCAGTCACTAAAGTAGCTTTTTTATCATTTGATAAATATTGCTAAAGTTCATCCTTTTCTATTCTAGTCAGAGTGACTCAGAGAAAATGACCTTAAAGCATCTGTCTGTTAATGTTCCAGCACATAATCTTGGATCTGCAGA